ATCATCCCAAAATAAGCCATTCCTCACACCAATGTGGGATAAGCTCCTTGACTTCTGAGGCCTAGGAGTTTATTCCGCTGTGTGTTTTAGAATCCCTCCCCTGCCTTAATGTTTTATGGCAGTGAAATGTCTCTTGATCATGTCTAAGCGTGTCTTTCACTGTATATGTTTCTGATCATGTCCCAGTTGCTTGGTCCTGCCACTTGGGCCCAGTCTCATTCTGACCGTAACTATACTAAATCTTTTTTCCAGATCAGTATAATAAAGGAGTGATGTGCAATATCTTCTGTGTGATGTAGTAATCTCTCTGGTCTGAGGAGGTCAGCTTGAACATTAAATTTGAAATGTCTCATTACTCAAGTCCTTGTACAACAGATTAAGAGCTTTAGGACAGTTACTTTATACAGCCTGGCCCCAAAATGGGTGTATCTTACTAGGTTTTCCACCTTAGGATGGGGAGCAGAGGTGTGGAGTTGGGCAGGTCTTCCTGGCTGAGCCCTTCATTCCTATTGCCTCTATAGCACCTGCTCAGTGTGTCGGCTGAAAACTCCTTGAGTGGTCAAATTCTCAAATTCCATTATGCCTTCTTTTGAGTAAGGTAAAGTTTATCTTAAAAAGCTAATATTTTCCTATTAGAAATGTGTAAACTTGGTGCCTGGATGGCTCAGTTAAGCATCCAACTTTAGCTCAGGTCATGATCTTGAGGTTTGGGAGTTTGAGCCCTTCATGGGGCTCCCCGCTGTCAGCTTGATGCAGATCCTCTGTTCTCATCTTTCTGCCCCTCCCCCTGCAGGTACTGTCTCTCAAAAATTAAAATCTGTAAACTTGATTCACACTTTTCATCCTCAAAAATGACACACAACCTTATAATAAAATGATGCAGAAAAGGAATGTTACATTGTCTACATAATTGGCAACGGACATTGCTCTCATTTACCTTCTCTTTAAGGCTTCTGAAAAGATAATGAACATGAAAGCCTACAAGGCAAGAGAAAGCCCATAATGCCTTCTAGTAGGAGAAGTAAGACCCTCATCTGTTAAGCTCTCATGAAATTCCTCTGTGCCAACTACATGACCTCTAATCTTGACAACCTCTGAAAGGGCTGGTTTCCCAAATCTGCAGAAGAAATAGGCTGAAAGAGATGCAGTAACTTGCCACACATAAACTAAGTACTGGAACCCAGATGAAAGATGTTGAACTAGAAGTCCTTATTCTAAAATGTAAATACTGATCATTTTGCTTTTCAGGTTTAGTTTTTCACATGATCTATACAGTAACCCTAGGATGACCTTAAACAGCCTGGTGGCATGTTAAGTTTACTTAATCTAAAATGAATCTTAAACCAAAAGTTGATCATTTTACTTTGACTGAGGCTCTTCATCCAAGTCAGACTGGAGCAGCTTAGATCCAAGTTCCTCTATATCCTAACATCACTTGAGTTTATAGCAGTCTTCAGTCATTGACCAGAACTCATGGCAGGAAGGTAACAAAGCCAGCATTCCTCATTACTGCCAGAAGGCCAACAACCATTGTCCCTCCAAGACTGTGCTTACCCAGGGTTGCACATCATAATCCTCCAGGGAGCTGAGAAACCCCCTAAACCCTGTTACGGGTTCACCTCATGAGGTTTCAAAGCAGAGCTAGGGCTCTGTTTGTTTTTATTTATTTAAAGCTCTATAGGCAATTAAAATTAAAAATTTAAAAAGAGGGAGATACAGAATCTGAAACAGGCTCCAGGCTCTGAGCTGGCTGTCAGCATAGAGCCCGACGAGGGGCTCGAACCCACGAACCGTGAGATCATGACCTGAGCCAAAGTTGGATGCTTAACCGACTGAGCCACCCAGGCACCCCTAAAACTAAATTTTAAAAAAATGTATGTCTGTTTTTGAGAGAGAGAGAAAGAGAGACGCACAAAATCCAAAGCAGGCTCCGAGCTGTCAGTACAGAGCCTGATGTGGGGCTCAAACTTGTGAACCAGGAGATCATGACCTGAGGTCAAATTGGATGCTTAACCAACAGCCATCCAGGTGCCCCACTGCATAGGCTATTTGAAGTTCATCTAACCCAGGTTGAGAATCACTATTCCAACACACAGAAACCCTTCTTGTCTCTAGAACCAAATTTAGATTAGCAAATATTAAACATCACTGGGCATAGCTGTTCAGTCAGCTATGAATGCTCAAAAAATTTTTATTGTGCTTTTGCTATGTGTTAGTCACAATACCAGGTTCTGAAAATTCAAAGACAGAATCCTGCCCTAAAAGCTCAGGCTAGAAGGGAAGACAGGCACATAAACTTAACTGTAATACAATACTGGGTGGTCAACTGAGAAAACCTAACCTGGTCTGCAGCAGGCCAGAGAGGGCTATTCCCCAACTGTTTCAAATGCTCTTTAGGACACTTTATCATAGCATTTCTTTGTTTATTTATCACCTGTCTTCCCCACTAGAATTTTAAAAAAATGTTTACATATTTTTGAGAGGGAGAGAAAGACAGCATGAACGGGAGGAACAGAGAGAGAAAGGAGAGACACAATCTGAAGCAGCCTCCAGGCTCAACTGTCATCAGCACAGCGCCTGACAATGGGGCTCAAACCCATGAACTGCAAGATCATGACCTGAGCTGAAGACGGATGCTTGACCAACTGAGCCACTCAGGCACCCCTTTCCCCTGCCCCCAACTAGAATTTAAGCTCTATAAGGAAAGGATTCTATCATGTTCGCTGTTTCACCTCCTAGTTCCTGAAACACTGGTGGGCAGAATACTGTCTCAACATATTTGAATGATATTCCAGCAAGCACTCATATTTAATGAACCAGTGTCAATTTGGAGAGCCTCTAATTGCATGTGCAAGGTCCTATTCAATACTTGGAAAAAGGAGGCACCAAGGTACAGGGCAAAGATTAATGCTCTGCCACTTGGATGTCTGTGTGACTTATAAACTATATCAAAATGTCTAGCATAAGGCCTAGAACTTACCAGATACTTTAGAAGGTGATGGGATCTCTAATAGTGACAGTAACATAATAACAATAGTGCCACTTTCTTCTTCACAATAACCCTATGAGATCATACTATTCCAGACAAGGAAACAGACTTTCTTAAAACTGCATGTGGAGCTACATTGATCTCAATACACTTTTCTAATTAAAAAAACCGAACAGGGGTGCCTGGGTGGCTCAGTCGGTTAAGCATCCGACTTTGGCTCAGGTCATGATCTCACAGTTCATGAGTTCAAACACGACATCGGGCTCTGCTGACAGCTCAGAGCCTGGAGCCTGCTTTGGACTATATCTCACTATGTCTCTCTCTCTCTGCCCCACTCATGTTTACTCCCTCTCAAAAATAAATATTTTTTAAAAAATTAAAAACAAAACAAACACAAAAAAACCCCAAAGAGGGTCGCCTGGGTAGTTCAGCTGGTAGAGCGTCTGACTCTTGGTTTCAGCTCAGGTCATGATCTCACAGTTCATGAGTTCGAGCACTCCATCAGGTTCTGGGCTGGTGGTACAGAGCCTGCTTGGAATTCTCTCTCTCTCTCTCTCTCTCTCTCTCTCTCTCAAAAACAAACATTAAAAAAACCCAAAAACCAAAAGCAAACAAACCAAACAACCTAACCTACTCTGGCTAGCAGCTAGAGGACACAAACCCAGTTAGATTGATTCCAGAGTTCACCTGTAACCACTGTCACTACACACAGAAGATGTGTGCAGTGACAGATGCTCCTTGAAGAACATCTCAAGAATTGACATCTCTTGAGGTGCCTGGGTGGCTCAGCTGGTTGAGCATCTGACTCTTAGTTTTGGGTCAGGTCATGATCTCAGTTTGTGAGATTGAGCCCTGTGTTGGGCTCCGTGCTGACAGCTCGGAGTCTGCTTGGGATTCTCATTCTCTCTCTCTGCCCCTCCCGTTTGTGCTCTCTCTCTCTCTCAAACTAAATAAATAAATTTTACAAATACATAGATTAAAAAAAAAGAATGGATATCTCTTAGTTTTGTCCTTCTATTCCCCCTGCAGGTTTTCCATGCTTTACCTTCATCCCTTCCTCATCCCCAAACCTGCATGTTCATTCCTGCTTCTGCACTTAAGTTTCTTTCTGCCTTGAATATCTTCATTTCACTACCTAAGTTCTTCAATTCCTTTCACTTCATGTCACAGATCTTTCCCCTGGTCACCTCACAAAACAGTGTTGTGATCCTCTCTTCAGTTCAGATTTAACAAATATTTCCTGGAGTACCCACTAATCAGTAATACTATATTTACCTAATTACTTTCAGAAGTATTTACATGCACCCTTAATCACAACATGTTCTATCATTTTCACTAAACCATAATGTCTCTAAATGAGGGGATGTATATAAAGTACTTGACCCAGTACCTGGCACATAGTAAGTACTTAATAAGCAGAAGTGCTTAAAAAAAGAACATTAAAAAAAATACAAAAATGACTTGAGATGAGGCTTTTCCAGAGTAAGCAAGCACTTGACACATGTCAATTAACAGGTACAGCCAGGCAAATCCCTGCTCTGAATGTCATGATGATTTTTATTTATTAAAAAAAAATTTTTTTTAATGTTATATATATTTTCTTTCGAGAGAGACAGACAACATGAGCAAGGGAGGGTCAGAAAGAGGGGAGACAGAATCAGAAGCAGGCTCAAGGCTCTGAGCTAGCTGTCATCACGGAGCCCAATGCAGGGCTCGAACCCACGGACTGTGAGATCATGACCTGAGCCAAAGTCGGACGCTTAACTGACTGAGTCACACAGGCACCCCCCCGCCCAATTTTTTATTATTTATTTTGAGAGAGCGAGAATCTCAAGCAGACTCTGAGCTGTCAGCATGGAGCTCAATGCAGGACTCAAACTCACAAACTGGGAGATCATGACTTGACCCAAAATCAAGAGTTGGATGCTTAACCGACTGAGCCACCCAGGTGCCCCATGTCATGATGCCTTTTAGATTTCTTTCCCTACTCAAGACAACAGAAACCATAAAGTCCTTTTAGTAAAAATGTTTTCTTTGTCACAGCAAAAAATATGTATTTGTAAGACTGTCAGAAGGAACAGATTACTTCCAACGTTATTAAATAGTTCATTTGCTGGCACCTCCAAAACAGAAATTGATTACTCAAGAAAATGAAATCCATTGCAAGGTTCATAAGAAAAATACTGACAGTCAAAGTTGCTGGTAGATTTTTCTAAAGGTGGTTGCTGGCCAACACAAGGTGTGTGAATAAAGACAAAGGCTTCCTGATGTTGGGTTCATACATGTCCTCTTAGAAACAGCTTACCCTTCCCTGGGGTGTAAAATGTAGCTTCTTAGGTCTGCAAGAATTCAGGCTGTACTCGGGCCACTTTCCGGAATTCTTTAGTGTGAGTCTTCGGGCACTGCATCTCACACCAGCTAATGGGAACCATCTGGACACCTGGAAGGGAAAAGCGGCTGTTGGAGCTGGGACCCCAAATGTTTGCCTAAGACCCTTCCTTTTTCAGCTGCGTATGAACTGAAGTGTCACCAAGCTACCCAGTGAACCTCACCTCTACAGAAAAAGCTTGGTTTGTTCCACTGACTTAGGCAGTAAATCCTCCCCTTTCAATTATACAAGGAGAATCATTCCAATCTCAGTAGTAACTATCAACACTCACATCACTGCCTAGATAATTAAAAAACAAAGGTAATAAGAGAAAACAGTGCAATGATGCCAAGCCATTAGCTCCCAGGGAAAGGTAAGCATGTGGAAGCATGGACAAACTCACCCGATTCACCATGGGCCACCACTACCCCAAGTTCATTTTCAGCAGTGGTCAGGAGGTAGTTGGACTGTGCGTCACCCAGGGAGATCTAGTCACATAACACTGGTTAAGGAAAATGAGGTGTTTTAAGTCTCCCCTCCCACGGCCACTTGAGCTGTTTTCCACTTCTACTTCTTGTTTTCACAAAGGACCACAAGACTGCTAGGAATAAAGGATACCACTTTGGCCAGGACAATGTCACCTGGGCGGAAACTCTTATAAATCTCAACCTGTAAACAAAGAACAGGAATGTTAAGTGAAAGCTCTGTATCAGATCCACATGAAACTATTAGTCCCTCTGGTAAAGCCAGTCTTTTCAAGCCCACGGGTAGAAGTCATCATTAGTCAAGTCAATCAACAACTTTTATTGCTTCTACAGCATCATTACATACATGAATGATTTTTAATTTAGTAACCTGATCAGGAATCTGACTTGGACAAAAGGTACTATAGTTGGCTAAAGGTACTATGGTTGGCTCTGAAAGGATCCAGAGTAAATCTGAGACAGTAACAAGGAATAAACACCTGGCTTCAAAGGCAAGGAGTAAATTAGCCCCCTCTGGTCAACAGAGCAAACAAAAATCCTAGGGAGAGGAAAGGGACAGTGAGGTGAATTCCACACTTTCCAGTAGGAAACAAATTCCTTGGATCTTGGATCCACATTCCCACAGATGTTTGAAATTCACTAGATTAATTTAAAAGGACTGAGATTCCTAAAGCCATGAGAGAGGGGAAAAAAAAAAAGAACCAACCAACAACCTTGTCTTTTTCAGTAGCTCGGACATCTTCCTTGCTGTAAAGAATTAACAGAAAGATTAATTATCTATGAGAAAGATAAAAGAAAGAATTACCTTGCAAAATTCTAGTAGACAAGAGCTACAAGAGTAGAGAGAACAAGTCATAACCGGAACCCAAATGCCACCCAGAGAAGCAGGGTGGAAGCCCTCCCAGTCCTCACCCAGAAGAGAAAACCACATTCCCATTCTGGGGTCACACAGAGCAGCAGCAGCAGCAGCAGCAGCAGCAGCAGCAGCAATACTTCTGACTAGAGAAAAGCAGATCAGATTTGGCAGGAAAGGATAAGGAACTTTGCTGCCTTAGGGGAGCTTGAACAGAAGCACTATAGAACCACGTGCAATCCTGAGGGTGGAAACAGCCTCAGAAGTTAAATTATCTAGCTCACAAGAATTGTTTGTCCCTTCTCAAAAAACCTATAGGAAGGGGTACCTGGGTGGCTCAGTCGGTTAAGCATCCGACTTCCGCTCAAGTCACGACCTCATGGTTCGTGGGTTCAAGCTCCACGTTGGACTCTGTGCTGACAGCCAGCTCAGAGCCTGGAGACTGTTTCGGATTCTGTATCTCCCTCTCTCTGACCCTCCCCTGCTCATGCTCTCCCTCCTTCTCTCTCTCAGAAATAAAAAAAAAAATTAAAAAACAAACAAAAAAACCTACAGGAAGAAAAAGTCTATTTCACCCACCAAACTTTTCTTTTTTAAAAAAAAATATTATTTTTAAGTGGCGGCACCTGGGTGGCACAGTTGGTTAAGCAGCTGACTTTAACTCAGGCCATGATCTTGCAGTTCATGGATTCAAGCCCCACATTGGGCTCTGTGCTGATAGCTCAGAGCCTAAAGCCTGATTTGGATTCTGTATCTCCCTCTCTCTCTGCTTCTCCCCCACTCCCACTCTGTCTTTCTCAAAATTAAATAAACATTAAAAAAAAAAAAAGGGGGTACCTGGGTGGTTCAGTTGGTTAGGTGTCCAACTTCAGCTCAGATTATGATCTTAACATTGGGGCGCCTGGGTGGCTCAATCAGTTAAGCGTCCGACTTCGGCTCAGATCATGATCTTGCAGTTTGTGAGTTCAAGCCCCGTGTCAGGCTCTGTAGTGACAGCTCAGAGCCTGGAGCCTGGTTTGGATTCTGTGTCTCCCTCCCTCTCTGCCCCTCCTCCACTCACATTGTGTGTGAGTCTCTCTCTCAAAATTAAACATTAAAAAAATAAGTTAAAAAAAAAAAGATTTTAAGTAATCTCTACACCCAGCATTGGGTTTGAATTCACAATGCTGAGATGAAGACTTGCATGTTTTATTGACTGAGCCAGCCATGTGCACCTTACCCACTAAGCTTTTTCATGTCTTACAATCCTTGTGTTTAAACTGTATTAAATTCAAGAAAAGATTTCCTAAAATGACTTCTACTTAGTTTCAATGTTTAGTTTTGAAAGAGAGAGAGAGAGAGAGAGAGAGAACGCAAGCAAGCGACCAGAGAAGGGGCAGAGGGAGCTAGAGACACAGAATCTGAAGCAGGCTCCAGGCGCCAAGCTATCAGTACAGGGCCCGATGTGGGGCTCGAACCCACAAACTGTAGGATCATGACCTGAGCCAAAGTGGTATGCTTAACCACTTGAGCCACCCAGGTGCCCTCCTTCTACTTTGTTTCATAAAAATCATCCTGCCTCACTAGTCTCTAGCTTAGTTCAATTCTTTTCATTTCATTTTAAAGCTTGATCTTGTTGGGGAGCCTGGGTGTCTCAGTCGTTTAAGCATCTGACTTTGGCTCAGGTCATGATCTTGCAGTTCATGAGTTTGAGCCCTGCGTCACGTTCTGTGCTGACAGCTCAGAGCCTGGAGACTGCTCTGGATTCTGTGTCTCCTTCTCTGCTCATGCTGTTTCTCTTTCTCAAAAATAAAAACATTAAAAAAATTTAAAGCCTGATCTTGTTCATATTTTTGTTTTGTCCTAGTTCATATACTATAACATTTTCTTTGGACACTACTTGGAAAGAATCAAAGCACAAAGAGGAGAGAGGCAGGTATAAGAACTAAAATGGCTCCTAAAAATTCCAGTTCCCTGTACTCTCCTATCTCATTCCAGGTGCTGTGGCAAATATGAAGACACAAATTCTTCTTACCGGATAGTTCCTCGAAAAGAGTTCTTAAGTGGTGTAGAACCCACATATAGGATGTGCACTTTGGCAAAGCGCGAATTGATGCTAGAGACCTGTGGGACCAAGAACAGATCAGCATTAGAGTCTGTGCAGCTGTCAGCTCGAGGTGGCAGGAAGCAGGAATCAGCAGGATTTTAGTCCAAGCAACCTTACTAATTACAGAATTTAAGATAAACTGACCTTTACTTAACTCCGCATAAATGATATGTATCTCCAAGGGAAGATGAGAATCACTCTGGCCACCTAACAAAAGTTACTGTGGGCATCCAATGAAATGTGGAATAGATCTTGAAAAATACACAAGACTAACATAAATAGACACAGGACATTATAGCAAATATAGATCTTAAACAGGTTTCGCTAAGAGTGCTAGAGAGTGGACTGAATTTAAATGTAGATTTCAACTACTGCACAATATTTGGATCACTGCCTCTTCAGTTATTTTCAGAATAACACACAAATTTTCTGCTAGAGCAATTTATAAGGAGAGCAACTATGAGCTACAAGTTAATTTAACCTGCAGAAGGTGGGGATGGGCAGGGTGTACTGATGTATTACACTTACTGATCAGTACAGCATCAATTTTAGTTCCCCTGAAACACCCTAAAAGACCTAAAATTTAACAGGAATGTGAGAGTATAAGGTCTTTTGCTTCTCTGCAGGGAAAGATCTCAGCTTCAAGATGTTAAAAAATAGGCCTCCTTATTAGCCTTTGACATCTGTTTCCCAAACTGCATACTCAGGGAATCAGCTCAGTGAAAGAATTATGGGTGCCTGAACTTGGCTGCCTTGGTCATTATTCGAGAACTTTCTAGGCCAGCACAGTCCAGTAACACTGTGATGACAGTAGTGTTCTGTGCTGGCCAATAGGGCAGCTGCTAACTATGTGTGGCTAGTGAGAGTGAGAAAATGTATTTTTAATTTTATTTCAACTTAAATGGCCATATATGGTTAGTGGCTATCATATTAGATAGTGTAGTTTTACAATGATCATGATTTCACCACTAAAACAGGTTTCTTAAGCAGGGAGGTTAAGACCAACTTACCTTACAGGTTACAATAGCCCCCACATCTGGTAGTAATTGGGATTCTGTTTCTCTCATCACAGAAATGACAGGAAGCTATAGAGAGAACAATAAAATGTGAGTATCCGGACTAGGCCTTGCATAAAGTTATCTGTGGCTTAAGAGTAATGTAGGAATGCCTTGGTCCATAGCTGAGGTCACGAGGACAGGTGGGCTACAGACTCATCTGTGCTCAGAACAGACAGCCTTAGAAATTTTAGGCAATAGGAGTGTAAAGGGACCATTCTCCAAGGGAAGAATGCTGCTAGAATGTATAATCTAATACTTTCCGTTCAGTTCTAACAAGTATTTTGGTGATTTTCTTGGAATATAACCAATTATCTGTAATCCTGGATAACTTGACTCTTTCCTCCAAAGTTATACTACTTTCTTCTCTTTCTCATTTTATTGTACTGGCTAGAATTTCCAAATAAATGTTAATATAATAATGGCCATACTTGATTAATGCTATTTTAAGGGAATACTTGTAGTTTTCTCCTTGAACATGGTATTGGCTATTGCTGTAAAACAGATATTTTGAGCCTCATCTTTTATTAATCTCTCCCTTGTTCACTACGCTTCAGTTCCCTGGTCTTCTCTGAGTTTCACTAACTCATTAAATATCTTCCCATGTCAGGATTTCTATTCAACCTTTTTTTTTTTCTATCAAGACTGTGCTCTCTCCACCCACTTAACTCTTATTTGTCCTTTAGATTCAGTTTAAACATCATTTCTGCTGACTAGGTGGATTTGTCTATTACATATTTTCACAATAACCTATAATAGTCTTTCAAAGCAGTCATCACATAAGTAGCCACACACTCATTTGAACGTTTACTTGTTTACAATTTGTGTCTGTGTCCCATGACAGCAGGGACCATGTGTATTTGGCTCATTACCATTTCTCTAGAGGTCCACACTGTGCCTGGGACATGAAAACGTTCTATTTCTATGAAATGAACAAACTTAGAAATGTTAAAGGGGTGCCTGGGTGGCTTAGCGGTTAAGCAACCAACTTAAGCTCAGATCATGATCTCGCACTTTGTGAGTCTGAGCCCCACGTTTGCCTCTGTGCTGACAGTTCAGAGCCTGGAGCCTGCTTCGGATTCTGTGTCTCCCTCTCTCTGGCCTTTTCTCGCGCACCTCTCTCTCAAAAATAAATAAACATTAAAAAATGAAAAAAAATGTTAAAGACATTCTCACAATTGATTGAATAAAATGTCTCTCATTTTACATAGGAGGAAGAACCTAAAAACCAGAGAGTTCAAGTTTCTAACTTAGAGCAGAATCAAGATCTAGATAGTCAGTACCTAAGTGTTCTAATTCTGAATCCTCTTTCTACTATGCTACTGGTCTTTTTTTCTTTTAATATTTATTTATTTACTGAGGAAGAAAAAGCATGTGTGAGTGGGGGGAGGGGAAGAGAAAGAGGGAGAGAGAAATCCCAAGCAGGCTCTGTGCTGCCAGTACAGAGCCTGATGGGGGACATGAACTTAGGAAATGTTAAGATCGTGACCTGAGCCGAAATCAATAATCCAACACTCAACTCACTGAACCACCCACGCACCCCTACTATGCTATCTGTCTTTAAGATGCTTCTTCAAACACTGTTTATCTGATCTTGGGCTAATCCTGGATGAGCCTCTGGAGCTAGGGAGGGCAGTATTAGGCATTCAACAAACATTTATTGAGCATTTGCCTTGTGCTAGGCACAAAAGGTATTGCTTTCATGGAACTTAAGAGTCTAGTAGGGAACATGTAACTGAGTGTTTCATTATATGGAGAGATAAAGGCGTGGAAAGAAATTCAGTTCTTTGTGAGAGTTTAACAAAACAAACAAAAGCTCACAAAACTCCTATCCTTGACTGGCGAGTCTGGGAGAGCTTCTCTGAAAAAGTGATGCTAGAGAAGCTATCTGAAGGGTAAGTGGGACCTAAATAGTCGAAGGAGATGCGCGTGTTCCAAACAGAGGCGTGCGTACAAAGTCTCCGTGGCAAGAGAGAGCTTGGCCCATTAGCTACAGTGAAAGAAGCCAGTGTGACTAGACCGCAGAAAGTGAGGTGGGGACAGCAGAGCGAAATGAGGCCGGAGGGGTAGGCGACCTTCGGACAAGATTCAGCCCGCTGCAGGGCTGAGTCTGCCTCCGCTCGGCCTCTGACCTTCTTCTGCGAGCGTCAGCAATATAACCAGGCCAGACCGACACATCTGGTCCGTGGCGGCTAAGTGCCCAGCAGAGGAGACCCCAGCCTGAAGATATCTCAGGGACCAGCTGTCCTACTGCTGAGGCAGCAAAGACGCGTCCGTAAAGCAGAAGAAGCCTAAAAGAAAGAGAAGGAGGAAATGGGAAGTGGCCTCCTTTACCGCTCCGTTCTCGCTGGTCTTCGTCAGGCAGCCAGCAAGCGACGAAAAGATGTAGCCGTGTCGGGTGTAGGTGCCGCTGCCCGGGCTGCCCTCCTCCAAGTTACACAGACGCTCGCCTGAAGAAAAACGCTGCATCAGTCACGGGTGCCCAGAAGGTGTTAGCGATCCAGACTTCCTGCCTCTGTCTCACGCAGAAATCGCCACGGACCCCGCACACTTACCCGGAATGCAGTACCTCACGGGTGGCGCCATGACTGCCACTGGAGGGAAACGACGTCGACTTCTCATTGGCTAAAGTCCAGGAGCCGTTCTGCAGTAAAAACCGCGTCAATTGGTACGATTTGTCACGTGATCTTCGGAGCCTCCGGGAAACTTTATTTCCCAGGTTACCCCGGGACGAGTCCGGGGGCGGGGCTCCGGAACTCCTGCGCTTGCGCTTGCGCCTGTGGTCCAGGATGGGCTGGCGGCGGGTCCCAGTCTGCAGGCTGGTGCTGGGGGTGGCGGGCGATGGTTGGTTGGACTGAGCGCGGCCCGGCCGGGTTGCAGAGCTGGAGGGGTTGACAGTGAGCGGCGACGGAGGCTGTGGGGTTGCATTTGGCTGACTGGGGAGGCGGCAGGCGGCAGGTAAGAGCGGAGCCGCGGACTTTGCTGCCCAGTCTTGACCTTTTTTCTAGGGTCGGGCCCCGTGCGGGGCCTTTTCGTCAGCCCGAGTTCCTGTTCTTTCCTTGCCCCGCCCTGCACGGCCGTACCCTGCCTGGCGGAGTGCACCCTCCGGGCAGCTGTAACGCTTGAAGCATGGAAGGAGGCCACCCCAACTTGCCCATTTCACAGATTTGGAAACTCAGATCCAGAGATAGGATTTAACTTGTCCAGGATCCTCGGAGATAGTTCAAGGTAGAGCCCAAACCGGAACCCAAGGTTGTGTTTTTTGTTTTTGTTTTTTTATACTTCCAGTCCATCGCACTTTGACCACGCCACCCCCGTTCAGAAATAAAGGCTTTTTGTGATTGCAGCTTCACATCTTAAGGTCGGATCCTCTCAAGCGGAGTTAGGTCGTGTGGGCCCGTCCTTAACTTTTTCAACCATGTTAGTCCGGAACGAAAGTCTGCACGCGAGTAGAATGTTGCTGTTACTGATGATTGACAACTATTGCTTAAGAAAGCAGACATCCTGAGAGCAGCGTCTTTGTCCAGTTGAGGTTTGCTACGACTTTCATTTCAGTTTCCTTTGCCTTTTGGTGGCTTTGGAATATGCCGCTGCCTGTGTAGACCCTCCAACCCTCACCAATCCAGTTTCCCCTTGGAAAACAGATGGCGACTTAGAGCCTTGGAAAGAGGGGAGTGCTATGGCCTTCAATCCCCTCTAATCTGGTGGCAGACGTCACTATGGTTTGTGGTTACTACTGAGGGATCAGAGTGCTAAGGGCTTGTGCTTGGGGTGATAGTGAAGCTCTGCTTCTCTGTTTTCTCCCATGTTCATGTTCTTTCCCCATCCTCTGCCACAACACACACAAAATCGAACGATTTTTTTGAATTCTGCTTTGGTTCAATTTCCTAAGAAATGAGGAACTCTGTATGTTCAAGTGTGGCCCCAAGGACCACATATCTCTTCCCTGGAACATCCATACTCCCTAAACCCCACTAAGCTAAAATGAGCGGGAGGGGGTTGACTCTAGACTCTTCACTTGGATCTGATCTGTAGCTCTACAAACTTTCAGTTTACATGTTTGGGTTCATTTCTGGTTGGATTTGTGTTATAAAATCCATTTAAGCTTTTAAGTGCTGTGATTCTAACAATGGTTTCTATTTCTTTTTACTGATCATGAAGAAAGATAGTAGCAGATACATAGTGTTACTGCATTGGCAGGAGTGCACTTGCTGCTGCTTCTAGCACAGATAGACATCTGACTAACCTTACCATTTTTGCATCCTCTGTTTGTTCAACAAGTACTTATTATTTCTGTGAGCCAGGTATTGTGCTAAGCATTTGTAGCCATTTCATTTATACCTTAACCTAGTGTATATATAGATTCTTAAAAGGTTAGAGCTGGAGGGGACCTTAGCATTTGACTCTACCCTGTCACTGAATGGAAACACAAGGAAATTGAATTCCAACAGGGTTGGCTGATTTGCCCAAGGTCACAGAACTACATAAGGACAGAATTGAACCCTAAGTAATCAAGTTATGGGATAGATGAGAGTTGGTAAGTCTTGTCCTTGAGGCAGGCAATTCCTATAGAGTCAGGAATTCCAGAGGTGGTTGAGAACAATATGAAAGGTGGAGAATCTGAAAAGGAATGTTTCTTGTTTTTGGAAACAGGAGAGATGGCATATAACTCGTGTTTATTAATAGGTGAGGAATGCATCTTATTTGCAAGCTGTCATTATAAAGATTATTTTAGCAAATAGGAAAAAGCTTTCCATTAGCCACCATAAGGGAATGAACAATGGTGTGGAGAGTCTAAGTCACTTGGATTTCTTGCGAGGTAAAATTTTTGGCTCACTCTTAAACTTGACTGTGACCGTACACTATTTTGAAAAATCTTGCTTCAAGGTGTGCCTGGGTGGCTCAGTTGGCTAAGTGTCTGACTCTTGATTTCAGCTCAAGTCATAATCTCATGGTTTGTGAATTTGAGCCCCGTGTCAGGCTCTTTGCTGACAGTGTGGAGCCTGCTTTGGATTCTCTTTCTCGCTCCCTCTCTCTGTCCTTTCCTCCTCAAAATAAAGAAAAGAAAAAAAGAAAAAGAAAATTCATGCTTCAAGCCATATCATGGTTCTAAGCAACAGGACTCCCAACTCAGGGGAAGTAGGAAGGCTGAGTTTCTACTTTCTCCCTTTATACACTGCTCCTTAATTCTCTTAGCTCCAGTAGGTGATGGGAATAGCCAGTTTCTTTATCCTGATGCAGAGAGTAGGCCCTTACTGAATCATCTTCTCGTTCTGTTGGCCTTGTCTGCTGGATTCCTTTTTGCCTTAGGTCGTTTACAGAACTTATGGAAGGCGTTTCTTTGAAAGGCCTTCTGTGATAAGCCAGTGTGCAAGGAGAGTACCTTGCTCCAGTTACTGAACTGAAACCATCCCTACAGTGGAGCAGCCTCCTCCACTTTCTGTTGGGTTTTGAGCTGCCTTTTAAATAAGTCAGTGGAGTTGCTGAGGACACAGTAGCCCTAGGAGGAAATCAGATAATTTCTTTTCTGGTAAGGGCTTTAATCTGCAGAATTGATGAGACTGTCATCAAAGGAGTCCATGATTTTTGTTCTGGACATTACCTGGGCAGCTGACCTCACATGGCTATTGGGTGAAGTAGAAATCACATAGAGGAGAAGGCACTTGCAGAGCTGGGAAGGCTGGTTGGGAAGCTTGGGGCCAAGGGCAGCAGCTGCAGAGAAGACTTGTCCAACTAGACTTGGGCAGGGGAGACTCAACACTGGAAGGGTAGGCTCTGTGGTCTTCATGAGCCACCACAGGGAGGCCCCTCACCCGCTGCCAGTGTCTCATGCCTGTGTGTTATTCTGCTGTAAACACCTGAAGTTTTCTTGGCTTTTGTACCATTGGGGTGGAGCTGGGACTGGAATTGGAGACAGAGCATCTTATGTCATGCAGAGGGTAGCTGAGGTGTCCTGACAGGAGACAGGGAGTCTCGTGCTACCAGGTTGGGTCTGGTGGCCTGTAATGTCAGCTCAGAGGAAGTAGGAAAAAGGATTATCTTTTGCTAAGACTCAGCACCAAGGAAGATCTAGATGTAGGATCCACATGCGATGTACTCACTCCCCCACCGGCCGTTTTTTGGTGAAGAGCAATTGTTAGGAGGTAGGTCAATGGGCTAGAGCAGGCAGGATACCCCAGGAATCCTTTGCTATGGTGGCCGTGCCCACAGAGGCATGGTGGCAGCTTTGTGCATGTCAGCTGTGCTCCACCCAGTGGTCTGTCTACACATAGAACTCCAAAGACCTTGCTTTGGCTTGGAGCTGCCATCCTTTCCCTTAGCCTTTTACTGTGGGTGGCCCTTTACTCTAGGTGTACATCTTTTTGGATTTGCTGTGCACCCAAGTGGTGCAATGTAAGTGGGATTTCTGCAGGCTCAGAACTTCCAGACCCTACCCCATGTAGTCTGGTTGGGACACTGGCACCACCCATTCCATACAGAAGTGGAGTAATCTTCCTACGTCCCATAGCTGGTGACTGGCCCAGTTGGGCCTCAGTTGTTTGCCTTTAAGCTGGTGCTCTGGCTCCTCCCTGGTGGGGTAGAGAGGGACAGGACCGGAGTGGCTTCTCACAATGGTGTGCTCTCCTAGGAGCCATGCGGGGCCAGCGGAGCCTGCTGCTGGGCCCTGCCCGCCTCTGCCTGCGCCTGCTTCTGCTCCTGGGCTACAGGCGTCGCTGCCCACCTCTGCTCCGGGGCCTGGTACAGCGCTGGCGCTATGGCAAAGTCTGCCTGCGCTCCCTGCTCTACAACTCCTTTGGTAGCAGTGACACAGCTGTCGATGCTGCCTTTGAGCCTATCTACTGGCTGGTGGACAACGTGATCCGTTGGTGTGGGGTGGTGAGTGATGATACCCAGGGAGGAGGAAAAGGGACGTTTTGGGGTAGCAGGACATGTATCTGGTGGACCCACACTGGGTTTGGGACCCGCAGTAGCCTCCTACCCCAGGGAAATTCCTGAGTCTACCCCTGGTGTTGGGAACCTCTCACCGTGTCTACCTGACCTCACTGGTGTTGGCAGGTGTTCGTGGTGTTAGTGATCGTGCTGACCAGCTCCATCGTGGCCATCGCCTACCTGTGTGTCCTGCCTCTCATCCTCCGAACATACTCAGTGCCGCGGCTCTGCTGGCACTTCTTCTATAGCCACTGGAATCTGATCCTCATCGTCTTCCATTACTACCAGGCCATCACCACTCCACCTGGATACCCACCCCAGGTGGGTCCCCACAGGGGCATGCGGAGGGAGAGAGCTGCAGGCTGCGAGAGCCAGTCCTAGGAGTGGGGAGGGAGAGTGCCTTGGTATCTTTTGAGGTGCAAAACTTTGCTCCCACGGTTGTCATGATGCTCTTCTCCCTTTCGCACAGGGTAGGAACGATATCGCAACAGTTTCCATCTGTAAGAAGTGTATTTACCCCAAGCCAGCCCGAACACACCACTGCAGCATCTGCAATAGGTGGGTCTTGGCTTTGCTTATTTTGCCCCTTTTGTTGTAGCCCTAGGGTAAAATGTAGGCCTAGAGTTTGAGAAGATGTTTATGAAGTCTTTTCACCAGGCAGTGCGCCCTCATGTCATGACGCCTGGTCCTCAGAATGGTCCTGAGTTATGTATTGTCATCACTTGTGGAAACAGAGAGATGAGCTAACCTTGTCCAAGATCATGTAGCCAGTGAAACAGGGTTTGAAGCAAGGCCTGGTTGTCTTCAAAGTCTGTGCCCTTTCCACTCAGCAGGATGCTGGTCCTTGTAGGAAAGGATTGGCACTGACATCTCAAGAACCTTGGCCACCGTAACAGAGCCTGTGTCCCTCCCTCACAGGTGTGTGCTGAAGATGGATCATCACTGCCGTATCCTTTTATTGTCTCTTCTGCATGAGGCCTCCTTCTTTAGCTCCAGAGCCCTGCACCGAGTGAAGGGCCACAACCACAGCTTCTAGCATCCCTTCCTCAAAGAACAGTGGGCTCATGAAGTTAGAAGAGGAATGGTGGGGCCTGGCCATCTCCTGGGGGGAGCAGGAGGCTTACAGGCAATATGGGACACATCTTGGAGGAAGGCATCTATTCTAACAGTTTGTTCTAGACTGTCATGCTAACATTTGTGGGATGGAAAGAGATGTTTGGGCTTCCGGTTGTCCACTGGGCATGCCAGATAGAACCACTGGTCCCCTTCTGCTGTCCCAACAGATGGCTGGTTTTAACACCAGCTAGGTTCAAGTATTAGCAGATTCATTTTGCTGAAGATTTCATTTTTCATGATTTTCCAGGGGGACTGGTGAGGGCTTTGAAAAGCTTTAACATCTGGAAATAGTCCCATATTTTCCTGCTTTGGGAAATAGTTCTTGGTGACTGGAGGCTCTGTGTTTGGATGATGCCATCATGAAGCCAAGAATCAACCAGAGAGACCTGAAGCTGTGTTTGATCTTATCCTTAATCCTTCCCCCACCAGCCTGGCTAAACAACTGTGTAGGCCACTATAACCATCGGTACTTCTTCTCTTTCTGCTTTTTCATGACTCTGGGCTGTGTCTACTGCAGCTACGGAAGTTGGGACCTTTTCCGGGAAGCTTATGCTGCCATTGAGGTGAGCCCACAGCTAGGAGCAGGGCAGCTCAGTAGAATTTTGGGGTGTGGAATCTGTCCCTAAGGAGTGGGGCTGGTAGCACCCCTACCCTAGAGGCCTGAGAGTATAACCAGCACTGTTTTCCATCCCCTTAGAAAATGAAACAGCTCGACAAGAACAAACTACAGGCGGTTGCCAACCAGGTGGGCCCTCCCCACGCCACTGCCTCCTGCTGCTCAGGCCAGGGGTACAGAGTTGCTGAGGCAGCGGGGGCCCACCTGCTAGTGGAGTTGTAGATGCTGGCTGAGGGGCCTCTTGAGACTGGATCAGGGGTATCCTGGGAGGCTGTCGGCCATGGGCAGACTAAGTGGCCTGGGGCCAAGCTGGAAGTCCCTGGTGTGTGACGGTCTTGGGCTCTCTATCCCATTTTCACCTTCTTTGGGCTGAGTGGGGACTCTGCCTTGGTGACAGCCTGAGCAGCAAGGAGTCTGTGTTAGTCTGTGTAATGGGGTTCCAGGGGACAGGGACCAGGCTGGGCCAGTCTGATCACCTTTTGCTCCTGGTCTTTCTGCATCCATGCCAGGCCTTCTCCTGGGCCTGTTAGGACCCCTTATTTGGAAAGATCTTGGGCTCATGATTATACCACTTAACCTCTGCTGTCCTTTTAGTCCTTAGTGGAGCTCAGTTCTTGCTTATTCTTGCGTTCTGGGCCTGGGCCCGGCCTCCTCACTTGAGGATTGCAGGCACACAGTGAGGGAGTTCTAGCTGGGGAGTGGAGCGGCTTCCCCTGGAGCCCCATTTGTGTTGTCAAACCTGAAGGCCCAGGGTCGGCTCCTCCTGTGCTTTGCCATCCTGTCCAGACCCGCTCTGCCCAGTGTTTGTCCACATGGTGATGCCGCCGGGCTTGGCCCACCCATCTGGCTGCTGCCCTGACTCCTCTGTGGCTTACCTCCCTATTTTCTCATCCTGGGCTTGGGTCACTCACCTGCCTGCAGGTGCTGGGGGCTGTGGTGGAGATCAATAGAGCAATGAGCCACCTTGCTCTTCTCTTTTTCTAGACGTATCACCAGACCCCACCACCCACCTTCTCCTTCCGAGAAAGGGTGACTCACAAGAGTCTTGTCTACCTCTGGTTCCTGTGCAGGTATTTAACACTCATTTTTGACAGCCTAAATGGGGGGCAGCTTCAGAAAAACCTTTTCCAGTGCCCACGTGTAGGCAGAGACCCAGGCCTGTGTCATCTGCTGCTGTTCTTAGCATAACAGCTTGGCAAACAATCAGTGCTTCATTTTCTTCAGCCTTCTGGGGCCGGGAACACTAAGGATGCTAGCATTTAGTGTTAATGTGCCAAGGTAAGTTAAACTACCTCCAGGTAGGGCGCTGCATTTTCCAGGTGAGGAAACCCCAAGAGGAGAGGTGAAGTGAGTTGTGTGATACACAGCTGGGAATGGGAGAACTGTGATCTGAATTGCATGCTGCCATTCTAATCCTGCTGTTTTCATTACCCACTGCACTTTCCTGAGCATGGGTATTTTAAGAAGTACAGAACATTGTTATTAGTAATGCAGACTTAATTTCCCTACCTTTCTTCCCACATAATTTATTCTTAGCTCATGTTGATGCATTTTCATTGATGCTTTCTATAAATGTAGGGAGGTAAGAACTCACCTAGGATGTGGGCTGGGACTTCAGCAGAGAGGTCTCTAGCTAATCATTATTGCTCAGCTCAATTTCAGACCTACTTGTAGCCTCCCCCTACCACCAAGCTCCCCACCAACCCTGGCCCCTCTTTTCTTAGTTCTGTAGCACTTGCCTTGGGTGCCCTAACTGTATGGCATGCTGTTCTCATCAGTCGAGGAGAAACTAGTATCGAAAGGCACATCAACAAGAAGGAGAGACGTCGGCTGCAAGCCAAGGGCAGAGTGAGTAGGGCTGAGGGCTTGGGGTGGAGGGTAACTGATCCTGTTGTCCTGAAAACAGAGGCCATGGTCAGGGCCAACAAGGGCAGGCATCATAAAAGGTCAGAACTTTAGCTAACTTAGGCCCAAAAATTAGGAGGGAGATAAAATAAAAGGAGTTTGTAGAAACCTGTATTTCTCTCGGCTCTAGGTTTTTAGGAATCATTACAACTACGGCTGTTTGGACAACTGGAAGGTATTCCTGGGTGTGGACACAGGAAGGTAAAGTAGAATACCTAGACTAGTGCTGCCCACCAGAACTCTTTATGATGGCAGAAGAAATGTTTGGTACCTACATTGTGTAAGACACAGCCACCAGCCATATAGGGTTGCTGAACACTTGGAATGTGGCTGATGCACCCATAAATTGATTTTTAATTTTATTTTTACTAGTTTAAATAGGCACATGTGGCTAGTGGCTACTGTACAGGACAGTACAACTACCCTGGGAGTAGAGATCATTGTTCGTTTGAGCCAAAGGGGCTTAAGGCCAACATGCATGAGGCTTACAGATGACACAACAGAATCCTGAGAAAGCAGTGGTCAGTAAGGGACCTCTAGGTAGGATATGGTGACTACCCATCTCCCATTTGTATGCAGTATCTGGAGTTCAAGCCAACAATGTGTGGGATTGCAGTAATCTATTGTAACAGTTCCCAAAACAAAAAAGTTATCTCCCTTAGCCTGAGAGACCAGGGTAAATCAACTTTTCAAATTGCAACTCCAAGGCAGTAATAACTCGATGACCAGAAGTACCTGCCTCCCCCCCTTTCCCGTCCTCATTATATTCCTGCCTGTCACTGCTTGCAGTGACGCCTCAGAGGTTTAGCTTGAAACCTCTAAAGGCTTAGATATATTAGAACTTATGTTACTTTTGGGATTAATGCCAAAGTAGCTTCAGGATATCTTGATTCCTTGCTGAGGAATGAGGATCAGAAAGGAAGACCAAGAACTCTTAGAACTCAGAGACATTCTATCTTCTCTTGTAGGCACTGGCTTACTCGGGTGCTGTTGCCTTCCAGTCACCTGCCCCATGGGAATGGAATGACCTGGGACCCCCCTCCCTGGGTGACTGCTCACTCAGCCTCTGTGATGGCAGTGTGAGCTGGATCATACCTGTCACAGCCTGTGTGCCACTCTGCTTCCTGCACTGTCTCAAGGGCCTCCAAGGACAGCTTCTTGGAATCCTTGGGCAAAAAGAATCAGTGGGCCTGCCTCCGAGTACCATGCAGGGACGACTCCAGGACCAGTCTCCTGGCCACTGCAGAAACAGGCATGATGTGGAGAAATCCTAGGACTGATGTCCCTTTACTCAGCTCAGGCAAACTGAAGTTCCAGCCCCAGACTGGAGATTAGGCAGCTAGCAACCTTGCCAGGTGCTGACCCCGACCTCCTCCAGGTTCCAGCACTGGGGTTGGCCATCATCTCTTTCATGTGCTGTCTGAGAAAACACCTGAACGGTAGAGCAGAGATCCTGGCTCCTCAACAGGGCAAAGACACCAGGCCTACTGCTGAGGTCACTGCCATTTCTCACATGCTGCTGAAGGTGAAAAATAAAGGTATTTGATTTTTAAAGATCTATAGCTTTTCATTCCCTTTACTTTAGGCCAAGGAAGGGGAAAAGTCAGAATCGAGACCGATTAAGTAGGTGTTCTGGTCATGCTTCCTATGCTCTACTTGGAGGGGTGGATACCCTGAAGAGTTCTTGGCTAGTCCCTGTCATTAGTGTTCCTATGGCTTATGCACTGGTGCTCTGGTTATGTGGCACTAAGGCACAAGTGGGGAGGGGGAAATACCTGACAGCCCCATTACCCAAAGAAATCTTTATTCTCCAGCAGGGATACACACATCCACATCCCCGGTCTGCAGGGCCACGTTCACGTGCATCCATTCACCCCTCAGCAGCAGGTCTCCCTTTTTCTGACAAATGAAGAGCCCTAAGACCAAGATCTTTCCTCAAACACAAGAAGTCTCACACTCAGTTACTTTACAAATCCATTAGAAATCAGGATTCCTGTGTTTCCTATACAGCCATGCAACAGAGGCCCAGGGAGAGGCAATCGGAGGCCAGTGGTCTCCCTGCCTTGGGCAAGATGGCTCAAAAGTTAGTAATTCCAGGTTAGATTGTCTGTCAGAAAGGCCTGGGCCAGGACCGAGGGCTCAGCTGCCAGGGCTCCCCAGCAGAAACCTGGAGGAAAAAAGAAGTTTGGCAGCATCAGTGATAAGGCTCATTTCAATCCCCTCTTATCCATGACTTAGAAACTCACCATTCTCCCCGGGCTGACACTGCCTCCTTGCGCACCAGTCTCTTCTTGTCATCCAGGGGCTTGGCTAAGGCCCGGATCACCTGTGGTTTGTATGGCAGCAGCTGTGGAGTTAGAAGAACCACAGCCTTGTTCAACCAAGGCAACTGAAATGGCTATTTTTCTGACTCAACAACCAATGTTCTTCCTATTCTCCTTTAGTGATTCCAGATTGTGCTATGTGGCAGGATGGCCATTCTATCACAGGCAAATCCATGCCTATGTGTACCTCAATCGCACAGCAAGGTAGCCAGTCTCATTTGATTAAGGCAGAAAGGAACTTTTCTGGCTCTTTAAAGAAGTGTCCAGGCCAGAGAGCCATCTCAGGTACTCACCACAGGGGTGGGCAGGCGAGTGAGAGCGTGCATACACTGCAGTGCAGCTATCCGGACAGCCTGGAACACAACCGTAAGGGGAGGGGGTGAGGGGAGACCTGTGAAGGAGAGATGTAGGTGCCAAAGAGTTGCTGGGGCTCCAACGCACCATGGAAGGACTAGAGCTGAGGTTCAGAAACTTGGTGACGAGGGTGTCAACATGAAGACTCATGACCTGGGGTGCTTCCAGTAGAAGAGGCTGAAGGCAGCTGAGGGTGGAGAGCTGTACTACACTGTCGGAGCAAGACAGGGCCTCCAGCAGCAAGGAGAGCAGCTGAGGGGCCAGAAAGGCAGGCACATCACATATGTGGTGGGCCTGCTGCTCCTCCACGTCCCCCGTCCCCCCGTCTCTCACACCAGCTGGGGCCAGTGACTTAGTCCCCAGGCTCTGACTGCAGGGCTTACCGTGGGCAACTCTGGTAGGAGCACAGGCTTGGGCAGCCTGTTAAGTACATGAGACAGGCCCTTCAGGTAATTTGGCTTCACATCTGTAACATGGAAAAGGTTAGGAACAAACTGGTCTCAGACATATAGTCTGAACATTCAACTCCAATCTTGATGAAGCTGGGACATAAGCCTAGATAGAGAGAGGTTGAAACCAACACCTCAAGCTCAGAAAAAGCAAGATTTATTGAAGGAAAAAAGTAGGACAAGATTCTGGAAGTTTAGCCTTTTAGGTATAGATCACACTAGAGCTCTAAAGAAACACTCAGGTCCTAAATTATTTTAGGGAATGTGACCTTAGTAAAGAACAGGTCTATATATTTGGGGTCTTTCTTTTAGACCCTTCTCACCTTGGGAAGCAGCATGGAAACCCTGGACCAAAGCAGGCACGTTATCAGTGAAGAACCGCTGGCGGAACATGATACGCACTTCAGCATGGCCAGCACGCGTCAACACATCAGTGCAGTCAGACATGAGCAGAGAGAAGCCATCAGCTGCTGCTGGGCCTAGTTCTGGATCACCCAGGAGGCCCATGAGCTAGAGAAAAGAGGTGCATCAGGAGGGAAGAATGAACATTAAATACCCAAAAAGAGGATGGCAGTGGTTTCTGGGAGGAATAGGATCAATGCGGAAGTGACTATTTATATCCTTGGCTCTCCTGTCTCCAGAACCTACTTACCTGGTCTGTGAGGCAGGAGCTGAGAGGATGATATCTAAGCACTAGGGCCTTTGTTACCTGTAATCAGAGAACAGTCTGGGCATGACATTCAAATCCCAAAACCTCAAGAAGCATGCTATGGTTCAAGGTCAAATCAAGAAATTTTATTTAACCAGACATTAATTGTCTCTCCATCTAACTAGAATCCATTCTGGGTCCTTACCCAGAGAAGCAGTGTGAAGGCCTGACTACGATACGGGCCAGGGCTCAGGCCAGCCTCCACTTTGTCCACTGCCAGCTGCAGGAATTCATCTAGCTGTTGCCCTAAAAATAGGAGAGGAAACACTGATGCAGAGGCCACATGTTTCTTTAACAACAAATGATGTAAATTATTTAAATACAGAGCTCCCTGAGAAGCCATTAGAAAAGAACAGTATCACTCTGGCTATGACTTTGCCCACTCAGCTCTAGGACACTAGCATGAGAGCCTGGTATCTCATAACACAGGGGTGCTGGTATTTGGAAAGAGTGGTCTACTTCTAGTAAAAAATGATCTCTAATAGCTCCCTGTAGGGAGTAGGGTGACAGACACAGAGCACTCTGCCTGAACCTTCTCATCTTCTTATGTCCTGTAATGCTCTGCCCAGCTCTGGTCTTGACTCTTGTCCCAAGGGCTGTCCCCTGGGAGGCCCTACTATATTTTTAGCAGCTCCTTTTTTAAAGAGCAGGAAGACTGAACTTCTAAGATTTGATCAGCAATTGATTCCGGGAGGCTCCCAACCCCCCAGCCTCACTTCAGTACCTGTGGGGAGCTTGTTGAGGAGTCCTGCAAAGCACTTGGCGGCCGCAGTGGAGGAGGAGGGGCAGCTGGGGCAGCAGCTCAGCTCTACAAGCTCCCGCATGAGTTGGTTCAGTTGAGGGATTTCCACCTACACAAAACCTGACCATGTAATGCGCGCAGAGAACACTTGAACTTCAAGAGATACCCAGTAGAAAGTGGCAGCAGGGGGGTGCGCCTGGGTGGCTCAGTCGGTTAAGCGTCCGACTCTTGATCTTGGCTCAGGTCACGATCTCACGGTTCGTGGGATCGAGCCCCGCGTTGGGCTCTCTGCTGACAATGTGGAGCCTGCTTGGAATTCTCTGCCTCTCTCTCTCTCAAAATAAATAAATAAACTTAAGGGGAAAAAAAAAAAGAAAGAAAGAAAGTGGCAGCAGGGGTAAAGATGGATGAGAGCTAAACTCTCCAGTGAGTAAAATAGAAGATCAGCTTAGCCTATGACAAATTTCTGTCCAGAAGTCACTTGGGATGTAACCCCCCTCCCCCGCCTTGTCAGGGTTAAACTATGGTACTCCCCAAATATACTCACATTTCGAGGCAAGGAGCAGACAAAGGCCATAAGCAGTGCAACCAGCCTCCTCTGTCCTGAGGAGCCATTCTGGAAAGGGATAAAAGCCCTAGCAAGCCTGACCTGCCAGCAAGAGGCTTTTCTGCCCCAAACCCATCCCAGATTAGCCCTAAAATTTTGAAGGAAAGAAGTCCCAAGATTCTCCCCATTCTAGTCCATCAGACCCTCACCTGGAATGGCTGGAATCTGCAAGGGAAGCTGTTTTCAGGCAGAAAGGAGACGTTGCCATCCAAGAAAAGGGGCACAATGCGGGCAACACTCTGGGCAGCTAAGCTGGGGGTAGAGGACTAGGTATCACCAAGAAGCCAGGGTTCTGAAGTACCCTGGATTCACATTAGAGTCACTGAGTCAATGGGACAGAACATGATCATTCATGTATTGAACAAATAATAATTCAGCATATATTATGTGCCAAGAACCATTCCCATTTTAGTCCCTGATTTAGCAGTGAGTCAGATAGATTAAATCCCTGTTCTCCTGGAGCTTACAATCTGGTGAGAGAACGCAATGTATATTCCAAAAACACTCCACAGATGATTCTCATGCACATGTGTAGCTAAAAACCATTAGCCCATGCCTCCCCTACCCCCAATCCATGGTGCTAAAAAGCCACTTCCTCTTACTTTGCCAGCAAAACAACTCCCTCCACATTTGATTCTGGGTAAAAGATAGCTCAGAAGGCGGCTATTTGCTGCTTCTTCCCAAGATTACTATCGTGCCTATGATAAGCCACATCAATGATTATACTCACTCAGGGCTCAAGTGGGTGGTGGCAGTGCCAATGACAGAAACCATGGCAGCCAAGACCTCATCCTCCAACAGTACTTTTCTTAGAACTGAGTGCTCCTTCTCTGAAAAATAAACACACACACACACACCCCACCAGGCCATGACTATGGTTCAGATGGATAGGTCCGGGCATCATCATGACTCTAGTTACAATGGCATCAGTTTTAAACCTTTCCCCTAGGAGCTCCGTGGCCCTGAGTACAAGCATGGCACTAGAAACAGGAATGGTTAACATGGGCCACAGAGAGCTCTTGAGAACTTTGTGCAGTCCTCAGACTGGGCAACAAGAAGAATAAAGCTAGCAATTATGATCTTCTGAACTTCAGAAATAGTTACTTTAGTTTTTTCCAAAATGTAAAAGATAACAGAGATGTATTGTCAGGGGTCCTTACTATTAAAGCAGCTATATCCATAAACCTACTATACATACATACTATGTACTCTGTTGCCAAGCACCACACATTTTTATTTAATCCTTACTAACTACCCTGTGACACAGATTTTACTCTTTATCTTCCCCTAATATTAAGCGAAGAAAACAGAGGCTTACAAAGGCTAAAATATCTTCACTTAATAAGTGGTGGAGTTGGAGATGAAACCCAACC